TGCGACGCAAGGAGGTATCGCAGAACCCGCCAACGTCAGCGCTCTCTCTTGCCAGCTGAGCGAACTGTATAAGTGAGCCGAACACCGATAGAGTACATTACATGTCACGCACTCTAAGGCGGGAATCGCGGGTGCTTGTCGATACCTCTTCGCATCGCATGAAGATCGGATACCCCAACACAAATTCTGCAACTCGAAAATTTTGTTTCGTTATCCGATCTTCATGCGACGCAAGGAGGTATCGTAGTTCCCGCCAACATCAGCGCTCTCTCTTGCCAGCTGAGCAATTTTAAGTTAGCTGAATGCTAATAGAGGGAACTACATTTACACTTGCAATAAAATATGTTCCCACCGTTAAGTCAGTTTTGACTCTCTATTAGGTTCGTAATAGCAAGCTAAGATTCAAAGCTCAATGAGAGGTTGGCAGGGATTATGCAGAGGGCATTTTTTTATTATCCGAATATTTTTATTTTCCAATCTGAAGGTTGGTTACTACATAATAAGCTTCCCCAGAATATTATGTTACATTCTGTAGACACGAGACCACATTTTATATGTATTTTACCTTGGTTTAACAGACTCCACTGCACCCTAGTAATTTGTTTACTGAAAAAGGAAAAGTTCACCTTTACACAAGGATCAGAGACCACGTTGATACAGTAGATCGTTAAGACAATCAGAATATCATTTTAAAAAAAACTAGAATAGTATTAACTTCTTAAGGTATGTTATGGTTAATTATTTACAGTTTAATACATTTTTTTTTATTATTAAATAATATTTACAAATTACAAATAAACATGGATCATGCATTGTGAAAATCTTTAAAACAATTTCTTTCTCATAAAACAAAGAAAAACTTGGCATTCAGTGCATCTTACAAATGTCAGGCTTGAGCACCCCTCTTCCCTACATCTGGATCTAAATTTTTGATGCTGATTCATCGTTTCGGGTAAATGCATGACATTCTTAGTTCTTTTTGATAGTGGTGGTAATGCCTGTGTAGGTTTACGCTTATTTTTGTGCAATGCTGCACCTTACTTTCTTCAAGATCCAAATTCTCATCTAATAGATCTTTCCCCAATTTGAAAAACAAGATTTTTAGAAATATCCAACTTAAACTGAAAATATGTTAGCATTTCTTTTTTCTTCCACCTTTTCTCAATCGCAGCTTGTCTGTACTCTATGCAATTACAAAATCAAAAAAAATGGTTAAGAGTTCTCACTGTCCATTTATTTGTTCTGTTTCTCATAGTATACTTACAAATAATCCTGTCAAGAAGGTCTACACCGCCCCTGTGACTGTTGTACATTTTAACAGTACATGGTCAAGGGACTATATTCACATTTTAGCTCAATATCCTTTTAAAATCGCACAATTTTAGGAATTCTTGATACCATTATTGTGCCACACGCCAAATCTGACATGTGAGCTAATAATGTATCAAGAACTGCCACTGATGTGAAATAACGGTCCATAAAATGGTTGAACCAGCATGTACGGTATCGGATAGCTTCAACACTACTTCACCTCTAAACCTTTTCTGGGATTTGAGCTTTTTCAGAAACAATTTCTCTTCCACCACCCTCATACAATCAAATATCTAAAGATAATCCACAAGTAGACCATTACAAATTTTTTTATCCCTACAGGTTGAGGTTTCCCCCTCACATACTGCTTCATATATAAACCTGTCCATGAAATGGTATCATTTGTTCATCAATTGATACTAAATCATGCCAAGTATATTGAATGCATGCATTCCTAACCATGTTCAGCATCAACCTCAGTTTCCTGAATCTGTCAGCATTCCTTTCTGTTTCAGTTACTACATTGTCAACAATTTTAAAGTTAGAGTGAAGGGTGTAGAACTTATCTCTACTAAAGTTACTGGCCACCAAAGGATATCATGTACGCTGTTCCCAACACATTCTAATTTTTGGGAAACCAAGTAATGACACTGCAATGCTAACTACCCAATACTTTCTAATCTCATCAGCATCTGTATTTAATGATGCACCTGTTGTTAAAACATATCTTCAGTTAGTATTCTCAGCCATATCGCTGAAAAATGTTACACTTAAATATTTAGTAAAGTAGTCCATTGGACATCTTCCTCATCAGGTAAAGATAAACTCGTAGCAGTAAAATCTGGCGGAAAGTCTACTTTGTGACGCCAGCATTGTGTAGGATCCCTTGGTGTCTGCGACTTTGCACGGTGTTGCAGGGTAGCTCTGCTATCATCATCTTCTGAATTTTGTTTGATTGTGGCTTGGATATCAGCTTCTGGATCATCATCAAATTCTATATTCGAAGTGTTCAGATCACAAGGTTGCTCAACGAGATCTATAATCTCTGATTCATTAAGGGCTGAAAATTAAAACATATGATTAGGCCTACATTTACAACTTAAAATGCAATTAGTTTATTTAAAGACGATTATGGTGAAAATATTATTATTATTAATTAATATTAATAATAATTAATGAATAATGGACAAGAACCTTATTGTCGTATATTTTAATTTAGTTAAAAAAACATTTATTTGCATTTTTATAACAGGAAAACTTGTAAACTTCACGAGAATTTGTGGTCACATGTAGTCACAAAGACCTGGTGAATTATTGACACATTCCTTATAAAACAATACAGCCACTATTAAAGGGCTGTAAGGAATACTTCAATATTAACACGTAATACTTGAAATTACTTAATGTATGCTTCTGCTAAATACTTTCAACAATTACAGTCTTTAAACATTAACATTTACGTTTCTGAGTATTCGGTCCCAGCATGGTGCTTACCAGTGCTTACCTCTACTACGCAATGTTTGGAATGTGTACTGATGTGTACTGCCATCTAGGAAAGCGACCTAGAAACTGGAAAATATGAGTCGCAGAGCATGAAGCGTGAAGTACATGATTCAAACCAGCGCGAAGTTCGAAGACACATTTCAAGCAAGTAAAAAAATAATATCCGATTTTATCACCATTGATAACCACGGTCGCTAGAAGATATCTCAGGCGGGAATGCCCATTTAGAAAATGCACGCAACGAGCTGCATGTAGGCAGTCGGAATTCGAAAGAATTCTGAATGCGTAACATGATGAACTTAATTTTGTTTTTAATTCTGTTATATGTCCATTTCATTTGATGTTTAACTGAATTGAGAGATCTAGAAATTTGTTACCTTACGATTGCTGATTTGAAATGCAAAAATGCATTGAAACTGTTTTTCCATCGTTTCCATTGTTTCCTTTTTGCAAAGAACTTTCGAGTCATCGGCAAACAGAAACCGTTCTTGCGTTTTTAATAGACGAGAGTATATTGTTTACGAATAACAGAAAGAGAATAGGACCCTTAGGTCCTTGCGGGAAAAAAGGAAAGGAAAGGTCATGCCGGAATTCACTACTGAAGTGGACTCTGTTTTTAGAACTCACAAAATTACTCGGATCTTCGGAAACTTCCTCGACCTCTCAAAACTAACCGTTGGTAGATTGGAGCTAAGTGTTACATTTCCTTCTCAACTAAAAACTTTACATTAAATATAATTTTATGTGACCAAATTTTATTTAAATTATAAAATTCATTATAAATAATAAACATACTTTATAAATATTTTTGTATTTAAAAAATAGGTCATTTCCCCTTATTTTTAATTCATTTTATAGGTCATTTGCCTTCTATTTTTAAGCCCTGGTCATTACAGATTTTGTAAAATATCGCAGGTTACACACAGCTCATGCTGATAAACGATTTCATTTGTTTTAATGATTATCCGAAGATATTTGTGCTTGAAAATTTCGTGGCAAGTTAAAATTAATAGTTAGTGATAACTTTTAGGGGGGAATTTCCCTATTTTCCCTCCCGGTGAATCTGCGCCTGGTATATTTAACTATGAATATTTGCTGTACGTCAAGGATGGAATCGTTTACATAAAATAATTCTAATGTTGCTAATGAGAACTAACCTTAAGTCACAGCATCATAAACTTCAACATCGCAAGAAAACAAGCTCGTGATGATGCAGATGTGTTATTTATCGAAACTGTAATGGAAGAATCACACGTTAACAATACTGTCGTAATAGGCGATGACATTAATCTTTTGGTTCTTCTCATGAAGTCTTTTACAGCAACAATTATTTCTTATAAAACTAAGCAAAGGATAGTTCTAGACAAAGTTTTATAATTCTTGAAGCTTTTACAAATATCCTCACTGAAAACAACATATATGCAATAATCGGATGTGATACTGCTTCTGCTGTATTCAACAGAGGAAAACATACAATAAAAATGTTTGAAAATCGTCCTGATTTGTATAAAGCTCCAGAAAATTTGCAAGAAAAAAATTGTTCTCAACAACTGATACTTTAGAATGGAATGAAGATCATTTGGCGATATACGAAGCTTCTCCGCCGAAAACATTTTTTGATACTTACCGCTGTTTACGTTTTGCGAAGTTGACAAGATTCAATTCTGCTGTAAAATTACCATCGCTTCCACCTACAACTGCAGCAACTCAACAATATTTGTTCTGTTGCAATATTTGTTCTGTTGCATCAGATGCAAACGTGGCTAGGAATAGACATATCTACAACAGTGGGGTTGGATCTTCAACATTTTTTGGGGCCCATTGTTTTACTACTTGTACCAGATAGTATTCTTAATACTTACTTTGGGTGCGGTGCAAATTGTGGATGCTTGGTTTATTTTGCTCAATTGTATGCGGCCACTGTCACGGAGAATAATGTTTTAATGCAATGCCTCAAGCTCCTGCTGTTGATTCTTTCGATAACATTGATGGTTGGCAATGATGATGTTAATTCTATTGATATTTCAGAAACAAATATGAGCGTAGATGGTAAAGATGATAAAGAAGATGCAGACTTCGAAGAAACTGACAATGAATGAAATTCATGAAAACGAGAACGAAACATAATTGTTTTAAATACATAACATGTTAGTTTCATAACTCCATATGGACTAGGCCTATTTGGGACACCATGTAAAAAAACGCGCCTTGTGTCCTACCTTAATGATGGTGCGGAAACGGATACAGCTAGACGGAATATACCTTGTACGGAAACGTCGCCGTTTACGTTAAAACGGTTTGTCGTACGTTAAAAATGAAAATAACTTTTTTGTAGATAATGACGTAAACATTTTCTTTTGTAATCACCTTCATTAACCTCCGAACCCTAAAAACGATATTTTTGCAAAAAAATGTTTGTTTCCTTCGACCTTCAATAACTTTTTTGGCCGGTCCGCTATCATTGTCTATTTTTAATATGTTGTTTAAAACAACAAAAGAAAGGGATAAAAAAAGAAAATCTTTGATACCATTTTTAGAACTAAAAACCTATAATGACTGGGCTATTAATACTGTCCTAGTCAACTAATTCCAGTCCGTAATAGTTCTGTAAACAGAGGAAAATTTTCCAACATCTGTTCTCTGAGCCCTCAACTGTATTTTGTACGTGTGATCCCTTCACTAAAGTACGTGGGAGAGTCGGCGAACTTCCCATGCTGGATAACCGGTAAGAACAGTGGTGGACTTGGGCGTGAACACTGGCGCCTGGGCGACAAATTTTCTTTAATATAAAAGTTTTTTTGTTAGAAAAATTTTTTTCTGACCGTCTTGATTCAACAAGAGCACTTGCGCCTCGACAGCGAAGGACGACATCGCGGAATTTAAAAAATATAATTATGTAAATTCAATAGTTTTAGTACTTTAACTTTCAGCTTGTCCAAGATTTTCTCGCCCTCACGAAGATACTTCGGAAAAAGAGAAAGTTATGTGTTGAGTTTTTCGATGAGAAGTGCATTATCTGCAAATAAAAGTATTCAGATGCGTTCCATCAATGCAAATGCCTTCAGAGCTTACAGATTGCCATTTCATCTACGCAACGCCAAAGGGTGACGCGGCACAGAACGCACCCCCATCTTAGAGAGCACGATAGCTGAATGAAATTCCGGGCCCGCTATCTCCACCTCAGGGAAGACTTCTTCGATTACGACCGTTGGCCGACAATATTTTTTCTAAGCTGTCCTCCTGATATATATATATATATATATATATATATATATATATATATATATATATATATATATATATTTCAGGAGGGAATTAATTTCCAGGTCATTGTATTTCCTATAACCGAAGTTCAGGTTCACTTTAATCGAATCTTTTTATGCTTATTTGTAATGTAAGTGAAACGGAACCAGTGACTCAGGTTCACTATAACCAGAGTCGACCCGTTCTTGTACCTTTACGAATGTTCACGTGGTATTTCTAGACCCTACATCGGTGCTTAAAACGTATTCTAGATTTGGGATCCAGTTCCTCGATTAAACTTACACACAAGCGTGCCTTGTGCGTAAAACAAGAGGTGGAGCCATTCTATTAAACTTTTTTAATTTACAAATAAATTATTTTACTAATAAATAAATAAAATGTAACACAAGGAGAATGCAATTATGTTGTAAACTCAATTAGCACAGGATGGCCAATATTTTTTAGAACAAATTTCCCTGACTTTGCCCGATTTTCCAGTTTATTTGTTTATTTTCCGTCATAATTATGGTGTAGATTTATGAAGAGCTGCAATAAAACTTCGCATTTTTAATCTACCGTGTCCATGTTGAATCAATAAATCAATTTAAGCTAGTGATGCTACAGAATGGCACAGACTTTCCCGTATTAGTTTTCTATTTCTTTTGCTAGGCTAGCTATACAAATTTGCCACATACTCTTGCCAGTTGCCATCTATAGCCGCCCCCAAAAAGATTTTTTTGTTGAAATTTTCTAAATATTTGGGTTTCCTAATAGTAGAACGGAAATATTATTTTAAGGATATTAAAGAACGATAAAACCTTGTCGTAAATGGAAATTTTCTTTGAAAAATTTGGAGCCATTTTTAAAAAATGTCGCTTAAGCACTACTGTAAATTCGAAATGTGAGGTATTTTTACAGAGAAGTTTTGAGTTTTGAAAAACTTCATTTATAGTCATTTTAAGTACTTTAAATCACAAGTACAATAGTGTTTACAAATGCTGGATATGTGCATATTAACGGTGTGAGAGATCTTTCTAAATAATTACATTTGAGTATTTAAAAAAAATACCGCAATATGAAATTTACATATATATTAAAGAGTGCAATTAGCACAATCCTTTCGAAATGTTTGAAGAAAAAATTTAGACCGGTTTTTGAGAAAATAGCGTTTGAACGTTTCTGAAATTGCGAAATTTTGAGCTAGTGACAGAAAGCGGTTGAGTTTTCGAGAAGCTTTACATGACATTATTTAAAGAACATGTGCTCATAAATACAATAATGTTAACAAATTACAAGTAATATAAATATTAACTACCTGAAAGACAAGTGAAGAAAGTACATTTCTTTAATTTTTGAAAAAAACAAAAGAATAGAACAGTACGGCGTTTATAGAATACGGCGTAGGGATGTCTTCGTGCTAACCACACGTACCCTTAAACCCATGAAGGGAGGCTTCTGGCCCGTTCGCGGGCTGACGCGCCAAGTACAGACAGACACAAATCAAATAGTTGCGAACTCTGGACGACAATTCTATGTTCGGACGGTATGCATTTTATTCTATAAAGAAACCTGACAATACAGTTTACTGTTCCGGTCGAAGTACATTTTGCCGCTTTCAAAAGGATTACATACTTTCAATACCAGAAAAGATATTAGTCGTTATAAATTGTATTTTTCGAAGTGTTATTATAGATTTATTAAATAAAAAATAATATCTATGTACAATGTAAAATAAGGCACTTTCGAACTTTCAAACATGCAAAAATTTTAATGATACTCTCTAAATAAATGTAGTTGCAGATTTTACTTTCAATTGATATCGTTGCCATATATGTTAATATTACTTTTGATATGGTTGATCGAAGGACGATTTTAGACTAATATAGATAAATAAAAATACAAAAATTGTATCTTCATAACTACCAATAAATAAGCGACTTCAGTGTTGAGCCAAGAAAGGAAGAAGTTGTATGTTGCAAGAATTGTTTCCAAAATTGCGAAAATCTAACGGTGTCAAACAAACTACTATATGTCTAAAAAACATTTCGCCTACAACTCCAAAGAAGTTTCTATGAGATACGTAGGACATACTTTGAGACACGCATACAAAATGGTATCAAAATCTGAAATGTAATCACTGGGTACTTTTCAAAATTTTGCTTCAAAGGATTATTTTAATATCTCCAGAGTAACTTTTTACTTCACATATTCAAACAGGGCACCCTAATTCAGAAACAAAAAGTGTCATATTTTTACACAGGATATTCCTGTGTGAGGATATGTAGGGAAAACTTTTGAAATGAATTTATAATTTGTTACGAAACATTCTGAAGACTCTACGGGTGCGCAGAAAGCTGGTTGACGATTATGCTCGTCAGAGATATTAAAAGGTTTCCAGGCCGAAACAATGTTTCAGAGATCATTTAACAGTTACTAATATTAACATTTTTATTTATTATAAAATTACATATTAGTTTCCATAATTTGAAACGACATTCTTTTTAATATCTCCTTTAGGTAAACACTTAACGCCTTTTGTTGTGCCACTCTTGCTGTAGATTTTTTTGGTTCGTTGTCCTTGTGACCATGGACATATGATGGAGTCTGATTTTTCGTTAACTTAGCTGATTTTGTGCGGTCACTTAACTTGTAAAACCCACCAGAAATCCAAACATTTTACTGGCCTTTTTGACCTTCATTTATTGTTTTCAAAGCAACATTGGCATTCCACAGAGCCGCTTGTAAATCTCATAACTAGTAGACAGCATAAAGTGCCTGGCGGAAACTTAGGTGGTTCCAAGAACGACGCTTGAGGCCAAAACATTATTTGTCAATGAAATTATGGATACTTGCAATTATTCGAAAAAACCGAGTAAATTAATTTGTTATAACTGAGCAAAAGATTGGAAACACAAATATTTCTATTTTTATTTCTTAAAAATTGGGAGTACTTTTCTTTGACTATGAGTATTAGGGTTACAATGGGATTATAGACAAAAATCTTGTAGTAGGTGGAGAAGATGAACATAATTGATTGTAATCACATTGGAATCCAATCCTCGTTTTAACTATTGAAACAATTATTAGACATATTAATTAATATATTTATAATTTTATTGGATTTTAAACTGATTTGTGTATGTTCTTTATTCAAACACATAGAGGGAAAATGAAGAACTGGAATCCTATTCTACAATCAGTGCTCGTGACATCTCACTACGGTTCCCGGCATCGACAGTGCCTTATTTTTTAAGCTGTTGCGATGAGTTGCGTTTTATTTAGTAGTGCGTGTTGTCCCTTGAAAGGCGCGGCATAAGTAGAGTTGTAATTACAGCTTTCTTTTGCCGTCGCCCGAAACTGCAGGTGTTTCGGGGATTGCTGCCACGGTCACGCACCCTCTGCTTGGACGCCTTGGCTCACTCGCTGCTGCAGCCGCTCTTCGCTCCCGAGATTGAACGCTCGTCAGACCCTCGCGTAAGCTATATTCTTCATGTTTAACTAGTAGTGCTACAATAGCACATATTTTCTCGAATTATTTCTAATCTTGCAATTTTTTACAATTCACAGTTAACGAAATTGAGACCTTCATAATTTTCTAGTGTCTTTTGTATACGCGAGAGAATGTTTTTAAAAAATTTGAATTTTTGGGAATGTTTCTATATAAATTCTATTAACTTCACGAAAAAGTACGCGTAAACTACTTTTTCTTTAACAAATTGTACATGATCTTTTTAAAGTTTGGTTTTCAGAATATATTTTATTTAAGATAAAAATCTTTATCAGCAATGTTGTATATTTGCAATGTTAATTTTTTGTAGTTTTCAAAAATATAGATTGCCGCAAATGAGACCAACACCAATATTTTAATTGTCTTGTGATATATACGGGGAGAAATTTTAAAGAAAAAAGTTTGACCCATTTTTGAGAAAAATGATTAAAAATTGTGTATAGTACAAACTGTGTATTTGTATATAGAAAACTACTCATATTTCCGAATAATTGTACTTAACCAGTTTTTTGAACCTTATTTGGACATCAGATATCATTCAGGGAAAAATCTCTATCTTTAATATTGTAATTGCAGGAAGACGCTAAAAAAGTTTAAACTTTTGCACTTTTCCAAAAATCAGAGATTTCAACGCAAAATGAGACTGACGTCAAGTTCTTTACGGTATCCTCGGACAAAGTGGAGAAAGTGGTCATATTACGTAGTAAGACAAGAACGTATAAAGTGCTATTTCATTTTGCAATTAATTTTTGACTTGCAATCATGGTAATATTTTACACTCTAAAACTTTTTTTAAAATTATTTTGATCACTTTGTCATGATAACTCGGTGATGGTAAAATGTCACTGAAGGTTTTGTCTCCTAGGTACTCATGTATTTTGATTGCGGATGGGGCATTCTTGAAGGATGTGGTTTTTTGATAAAACATTATTGCAGATGGTACAGGAGGTTGTGAAACTTTCTGTAGTAAAAATTTACGAAAACATTGAGAGTGATTTGATCTAACTCTTGACAGAGCAACTTGTTATTGACTATTAATTGAGGGATTTCTGGGAAGTCCAAAGACGTTAGATATATTCTTATAAAGTTTGCTGTTTTTCTTGAAGAACTGTTTCCGATAAATATTTATGCACATTTGTTGTATTTCTTTTATCTTCGAGATCAGCGTTATCATTACCAAATATGTCATTATACCAAATCATATGTCCCATATCATGTCATTGGATTTCTCTATATCGAGACTGTCAGTCAGTCAGTCTGTCGGTCAGTTTGTCTGTCTGTCTTTGCCTGTCTGCTGGCCTGTCAGCACTATGCTAGCGCATAAATTGTTCAACCGGTTTTCTCGAAAATTGATATTCCCCAATCGTTCTGGCTGATGTCGCGGTGCTGGGAATTTGAAACCGATATTTTAATTTTAGGGGATAGTTTACATGAAACCTCTCTGACATTTTCAATATTTTCAACAAAATGGCCCTAAATGTTTACTTTCTGGGCACCGTTGTCGCGGCAGAGAGACAATTGTGTATTCCGCGTAAAAATGGCGGGCTAATTTTCAGCAGAAAAACTCTCGTTACAGGATCCTGGCAATGACAAAGTAGATACATCAATATGCTCAATTTCGAAAAAAATACTCTAACATGTGTTGTAGCCAGAATATATGTTTTGTGGGTTCTTGATAGCAAAAAATCGATTGACAGCAAAAACCATTTCAGTCTTTCTGTCCGTGAACAACGCTAACGGCTAAACTGTTCAGCCAATTTTCTCCAAAATCGATAATTGATATTCCCCAATCGATCTGGCTGATGACGCGGCTACTTGAACTTGAAATTGCTATTATATGTTGGGGGATGTCCATTGAATATTTGGAAAACTTTTCAAAAGTTGGCAAAGTTCTAAGTTTTTTCGGCGCCACCCTAAAACTAAAATATTAAAGGTAGAGATTTTTTCCCTCAATAAAAGTCTGTTTCTTAACGATAGATTTTGAAATAATGTCATGTATAGTTTTTCAAAATTTGAGTTTTTTTGCGTAATTTTGTCTGAAATATAAGCAATTTAAATTTTTTTAAAACAACTGTTTGCTTCAAAAACGGCTCAATTTTTATGATGAAATTTTGTTCTAAGACGATACAGGTCTGATGTAGGTCGAATACCCTGATATTTCAACAAATGAAAAAATCAAATTTCTTTAGGCGTCTTCTTACAACTACAATTATGAAGAACAACATTGTGTTCATGTGTTCATAAAAAAACTCTAAAAATAATGTCATGTTAATTTTGTCAAAACCACGAGCATTTTTTGCGAAATTTTGGTCAAACATAGGCAATTTTTATTTTCTTTAAACCATTTTTTCTTAAAAGCGGCAATTTTTAAAAACATTAAATTTAGACCTTAGATAGAGTAAAGGACGTTGAAGAGAATGGTGCAAGTCTCATGTTCGTTGAAATGCCTAAAAAAATTTGAAACGTTAAAAAATGGCAGCAACTTTTTACAACTACAATTCTGAAGATCAATTTTTTAATGAAATTCATTCATAAAAAACAGATCTTCGAATAAGGTCATGTTAAATTTTTGAAAATATGAGCGAAAGTACATTGGAGGAAGGTAATAAATTTAACTTCGAGCTAACAAATTACTTCTTTACTTCAAGAAATTTTGATCGCTGATGTTCCACTTCTGAAAGTTAGGAATGACTACTTGCTATTGAAATAAACGCAGATATCCATCACAGGCGCTTCCTTTGAATTGGTTGGGTTTGTATTATATCTTTTTTTGGTTTGGACGAACCTTTTTGAAAATGCTTCTCCTTTATCTCCGCTTTTAGGAAATGGAAGAGGCATCAGAGAAATATGAGGCTGATTCTTCATCGCTCACCTATGCGCGAGACCTACTCTCAGCACCGATTACGTCGTTGCGAATTCTTAGCCTGTGGAGCCCAGGAAACGACAGAGATATTTCCAAAAGTTGGAAAGTCCGCCAATTCCTCTATGAAGCATACACCATCACAGTTGTGAGCTTTCTGGTAGTCTTTGAAATAACTTGTGCTGGTAACATAAAGAAAAGTTTAGAGGATATTCGTGAGTTCTCTGATACCCTGATGCTTTTGATCGTAACCATTCACTCATTAGCAAAGGTAAGTAATCAATGTCATTCATCAATCTACTAACAATTTTCATATTAAGTTCTTATATTTTTGTTATAAAATGTCGACGTTGTTCAATAACTTGTATCATAGTCAAGATAATATAAACAGTTCTGTCCAAATTATTAGATTAAAACATTGTTTCGTATTTTTCTACAAATGTCTTTAAAATATTGCTTTTACTAGTACTAGACAATCACTATAACTTGCAACAAACCAGGCAAGGAAAGTTATGAAGTTGAATGATATCGTTACTGTTCAGACAGCCTGTTGGCTTAGTGTTAAAAGCTTGGCTACGAATCAGCTAATCAGCAAACTTGAACTCTTTTTGAGTAACCACTGTGTTTAGTATTGTGAGTATTGGGAAGAAATCTAAAGATAAGTGTTAAATATTATTCAAAATATTATAATTATCATTTTGGTAGAGTTAAATGTGTTTTATAATAACTCACCCAAATTTGGCAAAAAGATGAAGAAATCAAGACTGCGTGTAAACAACTTGTGAAAAGCGTTTAAAGGGCTTTCAGTGCTCATCGACAACAAGGGAACGCATACTAAGTATTAAAAAAGTCATGTTATGTGAGTCTTTTTTGTATTCGTAAAGAGAAAAATCTTGTAATTGAAATGTTCTTATCTTGCAAGTCTATAATTAGGATAGAACTGCACTTTAGTTTTGAGTTTTGATGAAATGTTAAGCTTCAATTTCCTTGAGGGGTAAAAATTAAGCTATTTAGATTAATGATAGATAAATCTGCTTTGTAAAACAGTTTTTCCAGACCCTGAAATGTTCACACAAGGAGAAGGTTGAAATGTTTTGGAACTTAACGAACCAAACTTTTTTATGTATTCGTTAGACAAGTACTTCATGTTCTTAAAAAGACATGTTATTTCTTCGTCCGAAAGTTATCATCATATCACTTTGTAATTTATTTTTAATATTAATTTGAATACAATATATTAATCCTAATACATATGCACGTGAGTCACATGTAATATGAGCATCCCTTGCCCATCCACGGTTTAATATTTTGCAATGAATTTTCACAGATGAACACGAGGGAATGGGGCTAATCGATACAATCACTGAATATTTTTTTATCTCTCGAATTTTCTTTTCTTCATTGGTCTTCAATTTAGGGGTCCCATTACGGGTTTTCTTGGGATGAAATACTGTAGCCTTCCCTGAGTTTTCGACCCAGGCTTCTTCACGTGCCTGGGGATCGTATCGAGCAGGCGCGCATCGCAGGCAATCCCCTCGTGCAGACATGCCGCCAGGGTTCTCTTGCACAAATGTGACATGGCTGCAGTGGATTTTCCGCCCTTCGAAAGTCCGGGCACCTCGGCCGGGATCGAACCCGCACCCTGGGAGTTCAGAGGCCAGTAAGCCAACCCCTCACCCACCGATAATTTAAAAATAACATAAACCGGAAGGCACCAGACATCAACTGATGTCACTACAGTACCTCTGAGTGAGAGGTCCTAGGTTCGAGTCTCGACGGGCCGTGCACAATCTTACCTTTCTTTTGCTTGTGCTATCATCACCGCTTACTTACGTGCACTACACAACCACACATCATGAGACCAATCGGGTACTAAGAACTTATCCGGGCTGGGGCGGTGCCCTGCTGCTGAGAGATACCTGGTTGGGGAAACCCAGTAAGCCGACGGTACGTCACCGCCGGATCTCACCATCTGGCGGGGGAAGATCACTGGCACCTTCCGAAGAAAAAATGAACTATATATATGGGTATCACGTCTTTAGCAGTTAACGCGCCAGAATCATTAATCAAGCACTAAAATATTATGGAAGGTTAAATCTTTAAGGTTTCAGTGACAATCAGCCCCACTCCTCGTGCACTTCAATGAACATTCTTTGCATTATCTTAGACGTTAAAAAGTTGGCAAGAGTTGCTACAGTGCATGAAGTGTGTAGGAAGGAGGCTCAACTTCCGTGTTGGAGGCTAGGTGGGGTGTACCGAAACCGTCGGCAGTAAAAAAAAAAAAAAAAAAAAAAAAACCAACTCGGACTTACAGTATCACGCGGTGAATGAAGGAACTTGTTTCAGGTTTTCGTAAAAGATCAAAACTTTAGCGCGTCCTTACGCGGCCTTCGGGCGTGCCTCTGTTCAAGACAATGCGATGAAAGAGCAGTAGTAGTGCTAGAAGAATTGGTAACGGACCGGGTTCGTTATTAAAATCATCTAGAAGATTGTAATACAGCGTATTGTGTATATTTATAATATTATCGCATGCAATAGGCTTTATGATGCAAGCAATAATCACGATAAATATATGATGACATACCAGAATATCACACGTTGTGATACGACGGAATTGATGCATCGAGAATGTTACAATCCAAGGAATACGCGTAACATAGCAACGAACTCTAAAAATTATACACGTGCCATGCTGGGTGCTAGACGGGAACGTGTTGATTCACTATTTCAAAGCGGGGAAGGTTTTCTCTGGCGTTAGCCAGAGATAATATTCTCATTCTGGGATTTCATAAATATAAATTGTAGTATCGTCACTGAACGGAAACGCTAGTATCAACATATTTCAATAAGTAAAATGTAATGTGTTAATGTTTCAATTATGATAATATAAAATGTATTAAAATATGATTGATATGAATATAAGTGTTTGAATATGAACATAAACACCCATAAACGTGTTTAGATATCAATCGAAATTGGAAGTATCGATACTTACGGTTTGTAGATAATATGAATGAGTGAAAACCAGACCGGTATAAGTGACATTTTATAAGTTCTGAGAAAAACGTGTTTATTTCAGGCTATATTTCAGTGGCAATGTATTTGAGTGGTTTTAATGAACAATTGAAATGCAGTGATTTTAGTAATGAAAGTAAACAACAAGACTACAATGATATTGGCTTACATAGCCAGATTTCTCAGAATTACAAAATGTCACTTATTCCACTGTGGCTTTCGCCCATTCACACGGACCCACCGATTCTCCGTTCTGCTGTTGGAGGCGAGCGCAAGCGACGAGGCCGCTGTGGGTGGTAGATGTGGCCGCTGTGGATGCAACGGCGGCTGGTGCTGCGCTGCGTGGCGCGGCTGGACGCGCTGGTGCGCGGGTGGGGGCTGTCGGAGGCCGCGTGCGCGGCGCCCCGCGAGCGCCGTGACGCCCTGCGCCGCTGCCGCCGCCTCGTGTCGCGCCTCACCCTCGTCGTGTTCGGCACGGCCACCACGTCCATCGTGCTGTGGATGGCCTTCCCGTTCTTCCCGGACGGCGGCGCGCGCGCCCTCGGGGCCCCGGGCGAGCGCAACGCCTCCGCCGCCGCCGCCGCCGCCGGCCGTTCGCAGCGCAGGTCCCTTTGCCATTCGCCTCTCCGCCCACTGTCAACATTGGCGCGAGGGCGTAGGGGTCCGGGTCGCCTGCCTACCCAGGCCACGGACCGCACGATGGCCCTCTCCTGTCCTCTGACCCTACGCGCACCTCCACCTCCATGCGTTCGTACACTGCTACTCACGCCGGGAGACGAGTCGAGGGCTCGGAGCTTGGCGCAGCCGGCGCAGTGCCCCGCTCGGGAACAACCCCAGAGGCAAATCCATCAATCCGAGTCCGGAGCCTTCTGCCTCCAGAAAAGCACTCGAACCGCTTGAGTCGTGGAATGAACATCCTACTTGTGACAGATTAACGATCTTACAGTGATACGCGATCTCATGCAAGTACAATTTGCATGAGTGAGTAGTTCCATTTCGTTCATAAAATGTGTGAGTCATTTGATTTCGGCCATCTTCACCTATCATACCAATTTATTGTAGCGTCTTCTGCGTCTAGATTAAACTCATGTAGACTTGTATTATTAATTGCTGTGTTCCCTCAAAAGTTTTAATTACTTAAACTGGAGCTACAAATCTGTATTGTGTACAAGATTTGTGTCAAATGCATTGAAATAGTGGTTTTTCATTACTCTCTCGCAATATTTCATAACTTTGCACCACTTTTAGGAGTAATTTCCTCTATCGGTGAAAAAATGGAGGCTTTTTGGGAATGAGGACACAGTGTCAATTGACTAATGTTATTGATTATTAATTAATAACTAATTAATCGATAATCGAAAAGTGTAATTCTGAAATTTGTGGCGTTCTTCTAGAGCATCAAGTTTTGAGAGGGGATTGTAGCCTTTGGGAAGTCCTATTTACGCCAGTATAAATAAACGGGTGAAAACCAGAACGGTATAAGTGACACTTCATAAATTCTGAGAAAAATGTGTATTTTTTAGGGTATATTCCAGTGGCAATCAATTTTCATGCTTGGAATGAACCAGTGAAATACCATGGTTTTACTGATGAAACAAAGCACGAAGACTTCACAGTGATGTTGACTTAAATAAACAGATTTCTTGAAATTTATAAATAAAATTAATTAGAATATATATTTATATAACTTACACCGTTCTGATTTTTCCCATTCAAATATTTCCCTTAAACTTAACGCAAATCGTATTATTATTATTATTATTATTATTATTATTATTATTATTATTATTATTGTTATTATTATTATTGTATTATTAGAGCATTGTTTTTAAGATTGAATTAATTTAATAAATATGATTAGTACCACTGGAATTCCCAAAGCAGCTGCGCCCTTTTTGCAGGGATCTGCGCCTGCCTATACCAGCGTGGCACCCGTTCGACACAAGCAACGTTCGGGCGCCGACGCAGTACTGGGTGGCCTACGTTTTCCAGTTCATCACGTCCTGCTACAACGCGTTGGGAACCTGCGCCTGCAACAGCCTCTACTTCGGCCTCATGCACTGCGCATGCGCGAGCCTGCGCTCCCTGCGCGTGGCGCTGCGCGAGCTGCCTGCGTGCGACGCGGAGCGGCTGCGCGACCTCGTGCGCAGACACCAGATGGCGCTGGAGTACGCCCGCACAAGCTCCGTCTCGAGCAACAAGTCGAAGGCCCATTCACAATGCAAACTTAAACTAACATAATGTCGTAAACGTAGCAGTCAAATTTACACTAAGAACAATCATTCACAATCGCGAACGTAAGCTGGAACGTAAGTTTCGCTCGAGTCAATCAGCTTCCAGGGTATTGATCGATTGGTGATTTGTTTCTAGCATGGTGAAAGATTTTTCCACCTTGGTTTCTAGCTTTCTCTTCGATTTTGCTACCGAAGCTGTTGTATTAGTGCTCACATTTCCTTTACTTTATAAACTAGGATTCTCTTGTACCAAATTCACGAGTCATTCGTCAGACGTAAATTATTTTATTCGCCACGTCAAGTTTTACGTATAGTGACAAGAAAAATAGCCCAAATTCTTACTTTGAATTCACTACTCGCGTCAAAACACTTCGTAAACTAGTTCAGAACATAACAGTTATGAAATGACATAACCACAAAGTACCTAAACACAATCCATGTTTGTGTCTTTCATGCCGCTTTCTGATTGATTTCGGTAGAATTCCAACGTAAACCTAACGTAAAAACTAGGTGCTTGTGAACTCTTAAGTTTACGACTTAACGTCAAGACATTGTGAATGGTCTGACTTGACTTATTTCTAGGATTGCGGCTACGTTATGTTTACGTTTAAATTTGCATTGTTAATGAAACCTTCCTCGATTTTGAGTTAACGTTCTGTGATTGGTTCATTTCTTATGTCTTACTTAAGCATAGGCATAGAAGCTTGCAAGCTTTCCAGTTAAGGTCTTACGTGTTATGCTTATGCACTGTGAATGAGTCCGCTTGTGGGCGTAATCCTAACTTTCATGTTAACGCCATGCTTATCTTTATGTTTGCATTTGGAATGGGCCTTAAGGCTGGTTTACACTTTGCCAGTAACCGGCAAGTGGAGACTGGCGACATGTAATCGCCTTGTTCCAAGTGACTGGCAAGACCTTCGCGCCAGTCACTGGCGGTGCCACCTGAACAAGGTTTGGTATACTGGCATGCGCACGCGCTCCCCCACCCCGGCGACCCCCCGGCCCCCAACACGTGTGTACGCTGTTTTATGCTTGCACGGTGATCAACGTAAGCTTATTATTATAATTATTTATAAAAATGACTGGGAAGCAGATGCCTTCTTGAATGAAGAACTGTCAAGTTTGACTGGTTATGTGCAGAATCGAAAAATTTTTGGGATATTTTGTATCAGGATGTGAGAATCGCGAGGCTAGGAAAGCTATGATGAGGCTAGATAACATCTCCAAAACCGATTACGTGAAGTAGATAAAACTTTTATGGAACATTTGCCTTGCACAATTGCTTGCGCGCCAGATACTGTCAGCAGCACGTCACCGTGTGCATACATAAGCTAAGAATACGAGCAATGAGAAAAAATCAGCTCTTGTATGCCATTACTAGCACTGTGTAAACAGCTATTGCCCGTCGCACAGAGCGACTGCGCTGTCTAGGAGCTGACAGACCCGACACTGGCACACCAGTATTGGCCACGTTTAAACCAGCATTAGAATATACTACATAGAGTGGCAGAAGCGCCACCATCTTTGCAGCAAATCGAAGCTATCTTTTGCAGTCAAAGTAGTGCCCTCTGTGAAATTATTCAATATAATCAATTTGGAACTATTTGAATTTTGTAAAATATAAATCGACGTTTGGAATATAAATCAGGACTAAGAAGGCCCTTACTTGAGAAATGATATATTTGTGACTTGCGAATATTATTATTCCAACCAGTAATATAATTTAAATACAGTTAAACGAAAAAGACAACAATATTGGTACAAAATCTGATGCAAAAAACACGTCAATTCAGTGTGACAAGAGTTCAACAACACGGCACCACCAGTTCTGCGAACGTCCGTCATGAGCGTTGAAAGCATAGGCTCAGCCCAGCCACTCTTCGTAGTTGGGGAAGTCCCGACGCTCCAAGTGTGGGGTATTCTTCGCAAATCGCACTCGCGCAACACATCGCAATTATTTAGCGACTAGAAACTTTTTATAAGAGTACTAGGGGTGACACTAGAAAACCCATATTTTTTCTTTCGTCTTTAATTGCACTCATTCCAGAAATATAACGGTATATTTTTGGAAGAATCTTACTCACGCATATTTTAAACATTTCTCACGCATCTACTTCTTTCTTCAGAAAAATACAATTACTCTCAAAATAAATCTTGAATGATGTACTTTCATTGGGTAAAAACATTAAATTTGTTAATATATTATTTCAGTATTTAAAGTCGCTTTTAATTTTTTTAAGTACATTTTTTAAACTAAGTCAATATTTAAATTCATTGTAAAAAAAATACTCATGTATTTGTACACTTATGTTGCTTGAAACTGTCAAATTTCAAAATGGAACACAAACAGATAAAAAAAATTTAAAAAGTTTGTTGATCGAAGTGCGTACTCCGCCCGCCTGCCCGCTCGCTCGCCACAGGGGGCGCCTTCACACAAGGGCTTCAGGGTCACGATGTTCAAACGTAAAGCAAGCGTGACACGTACAAGTTGTCATGCTACGAGACGCAGTATCACGCCCAGTCACAAATGGTAGGGTTCGGTGAGAACCCTTCTCTAGGTTTTATTTATAAAGAAGAAACATGGCGAGGGTCTCCGGAACAAGGGCGCAGTCGCGGGCGCAAATATTGCAATAAATATTTAACAACGTAAGTGACATAACATTTAACTACCGCACAATAGCCGCCGCGACAATAGGTATCTTTCTTTTAATGACACTTTCATATGTTTAAATTTGCAAACACCCTCATTCGCAAATTTTTACATATGTAATAAAGTGCAAATTAGAAATAAATTACTAATAAAATGTGTATATACATAATTATATGTATTATATAAAAATAAATAAATTAGAATAACATAGTTACACAATTAATTGGATTGTTGGTGAAGTAGATACCTTTTTTTTTTTTTATTTTCTGTGCTCTTAATCAAGACACACGCTCAAAAATTCGCAGAACTTTGTTTTCGGCCCAGAAGCTGCAAGGTATGTACGATCCAGTTTGCTTACGCATTTTGTATACAATAACCAATATTTTAATATTTCACATTGTATATTTGTATTGTTTTTAGCTCTGAGGATGATCGCTACGCGATCGAAATGATCATTAGTGGAATTAAAATATTGATACCTGATAATATCTCTATTTATTGATCAAAATAGTTACACAATTTTAAATCTCTTTTTCATTTTGTCGTTATGCACTACTGATTGCATTACTTTCCTTTTTGATATAATTCATAGTATTCTAAAATTTTAGTGTTCACGAAAATAATTTTGCTTAATTACAGATACGTAGAAGGACTCTCTGCCTTGCTGGGGCCGATGATATTTGTACACAGTTGTGGCGTGTCTATGATATTATGTGCTGCAGTGGTGAACATGG